CCAGTTATTCCATTCTGGGTCACAGATGGCCAGACCCTATCCTGGCAGCTCAGGGCACAAGGCAGGAAGCAACCTTGGACAGGACACTATTCCATCACAGGGTGGACTCACACACTCTCACTCATACTGGGGGAGTTTAGACTCGCAAATTAATGTGCACATCTTTAGGATGTGAGAAGAAACTGAATTACCCAGAGAAAACATACACAGACATGGGAAGAATGTGTAAAACTCCATATAGACATTGGCCCCTACCAGGAATTGATTTTTTTAATTAATGTTATAACAAAATGAGCTTGAACAAAACAACGTTGGTTGACAACCTGCTGTATTCTGTTGTTGGATGAGTGTCTATAAATGTCAGTTGTATCTTGGTTGATGATTTGTTGAGTTCTTTTATATCCTTGCTGATTTTCTGTCTAGTTCTATCAGTTGTTGTGAGAAGGGTACTGAAGTGTCCAACTATAATTGTGGATTTGGCCATTTTTTTCAGTCTGTCAGATTTTTTCTTCATATATGTTGAACCTCTGCTGTTTGGTACATACACATTTAGGATTGCTTACTGTTTTCTTGGTGAATTGACACTTTTATCATAAAATGTTCTCTGTCCCTGGTACTTCTGTCTGCTCTGAAATCTACCTGATGTTTATATATAGCCACGCCTGCTTTCTTTTGATTAATGTTTGCATGATGTATCTTTTTACGTCCTTTTACTTTAAAGTGACATATATCATTATCTTTGAAGTGTATTTCTTTTTCTTTTTCTCTTTTTTTTTTTTTGAGACAGAGTCTTGCTCTGTTGCCCCAGCTAGAGTGCAATGGTGTCATAGCTCACTGCAACCTCAAACTCCAAGGCTCAAGTGATCCTCCTGCCTCAGCTTCCCAAGTAACTGGGACTATAGGCACATGCCATCGCACCTGGCTAATTTTTTCTATTTTTAGAGACAGGGTCTCACTCTTGCTCAGGCTGGTCTCAAACTCCTAAGCTCAAACAATCTTCCTGCTTCAGCCTCCCAGAGTGCTAGGATTATAGGTGTAAGCCACCACACCCAGCCTGAAGTGCACGTCTTATAGGCAGCATATAGTTGGGTCATGTGGGGTTTATTTTATTGATTTGCTCTGTTAATCTTTGTTTTTTTTTTCTCCTTTTAAGAAAATTTTTAATAGATTTAGGGATTCAAGTTGAATTCCATTATACGTATATATTGTATAGTAGTGGAGTCTGGGCTTTTGGTGTACTCATCATCCAATTAGTGTACCCTGTACCCCATAGGTACTTTCTCATCCCTCACCCCTTCCAGCTTCCCTCCTTAGGAATCACCAGTGTCCATTATACCAGTCTATATGTCCTTATTGTTACCATAGTTTAGTTCCCACTTGTAAGTAAGACCATTTGGCATTTATTTTTCTGTTCCTGAGTTACTTTACTTAGGATAATGGCCTCCACTTCCATCCAAGTTGCTGCAAAAGACCTTATTTCATTCTTTCTTATTGCTGAGTGGTACTCCATGGGGTATGTGTGTGTGTGTGTGTGTGTGTGTGTGTATGTGTGTGTATATCATAGTTTCTTTATCCATTCATTAGCTGATGGTCATTTAGGTTTATTCCGTGTCTTTGCAATTGTGACTTGTGCTGCAATAAACATATGAATGGAGGTATCTTTTTGATATAATGATTTTGTTTCCTCTAAGTAGACACCATGGAGTGGGATAACAAGATCAAATGATAGATCTACTTTTAGTTCTTTCAGAAATCTCCATATTGATCTCCATAGAGATTGTACTAATTTACATTCCCAAGAACAGTGGGAATCAGTGTTCCAGTGTATCGGTGTTCCATTTTCACCACAACCACTGAGCAAGATTAGCTATTATAAGAAAACTCCTTACGAGTTTGAGAACTCAAATTTTTACCTCTGGTGATCTAGCATAATATAATTTGCACAAATTATTTAATCTTATTTTTGTAGTTTTCTTTATAGAATGGCAAAGACTGAAATTGCTCATAAATCAATTAAACTGTGGTCTTTCTCTTTCCCAAGGTTCTTTTAGAGCAAGATGTATTTCATCGTTCCTTGATGGCTTGTTGTTTGGAAATTGTGCTCTTTGCCTACAGCTCACCTCGTACATTTCCTTGGATTATTGAAGTTCTCAATTTGCAACCATTTTACTTTTATAAGGTGAGAAGAGGGCAAAGTTCCGTTATGGTGTACTCATATAAACCTTGTATTTATCTTAGTGCTGAAGAGACACTGTTGTAATGTCTGGAAAATATTTCCAGATGTGTTCTGAAAATATACATTCCTTTTGAGTGAAATCCAGAACAAAAAGGAGAGTATGTAGGTATCAGTAAATTAAGCCAATATCGCAGCTTCAGTGCATTTTCTTTCGCTGACTTGCAAATATGACCTGGAAATAAGAACTTAACTTCAGAGTTTCCATATGTGTGAATGAAAATCATAATCCCATTAAACAGGTGCAGCATAATGAAGAACAAAAAACCACTTTCTACCAGGAGAAAGAAAAGGCCTAAAATTGATTGTGATGATGGTCTAACTAAAGAAGCTGTAATAACAGATTCTGCTTCTTCCCCAAATTTGAGCTAATTCAGTGTAGATGAATTATTTACCTTGCCTTTTTTTTTTCCTAGAACTACTTTTATTAACCCTTTTCTGTAGAATATGTAGAGTGTAGATATCACAGCTGTTGAGCTATGTCATCACAGTCAATAACATTTAATCATCACAATCAATAACATTTAATGTTACCTAGTATCCAGATTTAAGACTAATGCTACTGTTATGCCTATTAGCGTGATTTAGTTCATATTTAGTCATCTGGGCTACTTTCAAACTACTGATGCAGATTATTAGAAAACTTCTCTGTTTGAATTGTTGACTGCAGGTGATTAAAATATAGTGATTCTATATACTTATTTTAATGTTGATATGTGTACTCAGCTTTTGCCATTAGGAAAAGTTTAGTTTTTGCCCACAACCTAATAGCAATTTGTTTTTATTTGTAGCATCCTTATTTTATTCAAGGAGCTAAATGCTGGCTGGGTGTGGTAGCTCACGATGTCATCCTAGCACTTTGGGAGGCCGAGGCAGAAGGATCACCTGAGGCCAGGAGTTTGAGACCAGCCTGGGCAATAGCAAAACTCCATCTTTACAAAAATTAGAAAAATGAGCTGGC